TGTGGATCCTCTCATTGCCTGGGAAACTCACGGAGGCAAAGCCAAATCTGTCGCAGTCTGCGTCGTCGTGGGTGACAATGACTTCCTCAAGGCAAGTAGAGTAGCGCTTCTTCATGACAGTCACTAAGTACATGGATGACACAAATCAATTTCATGTCAAATGCCTACAAATGGCTAGAGTAATGTTCATGCTGCTGTAGGCTGAGAAAAGAACCTCAAAACAAGGGAACGATGCCTACAGGATACAGACCATGTCATGGCAACTATGTTTGCAAACAAGCCAAAAGTACTGCCTCAGACCTTCGAATTTTCGAGTGATCGCTTGATACACCTTTTGAAGTTCAATTTCAAAATATCAGCTGTTGGGAAAATGCCTCAACCTGTTTCGATCTTGGATGTCTTCGGGTGCCCCTAGCGGTCCTGCCCTTCGAACTCTGAAAAAATGTTTCTGATCTCATCCTTGTCCATGCCTTCTGGAATTCCAGCCAGCACCTCATTTCAGATGCAAAACAGCGTAACTCTCCAAACATCTGGCAACAATGACTATGTAAAAGTTCAGAGCGTGCTTCAAAGAAAGAGAGAGAGAGAGAGAGATATTCAAACTGCCTCGGTGCTGCCCCAAATCTGTAGGTGGGACATGAGACGCGACGCGAAGAGCAAATTAACTATTGAGTAGCTTCACCAAATCTGGGAGCCTGTCGCCAGGGCCCAGATCTAGTCTATGTGCTACTGTATTTTGTAATTATGTGCGTATGTGTTTATAATATTTTATAATATGTGCAAATTATATAATCATAGTATAATCCTTGAACACAAATCCACTGGCACCACTACCACCACTTGAGTCCCAAGTGCTATGCGGTCTGGCAAGGCGTGAGCACGAATCTTTGCCTCGTTTCCAGGATGCAGAACTGCAGAATAATTCCGCCCACAGTGGCAGTATCTCTTAGAATTGGCCGCCCTAGAAATGGCAACCCGTTGTTGCAGCATCTGGATGCATTTGGCGGAAATGGCAACCCGTTGTTGCAGCATCTGGATGCATTTGGCGGTTGTGGTTGGAAACGAACCGTTGCAGGTTCTAAAATTATCAAAGGGACAGGTTCCAAAGCGCGTGGGATCTCCATGGAAACACAGCCCATCAACGTGGATGGTGTCCGATTGGTAGACCTCGCACTCTCTCCGAACCAGAGACCAGCCAGCACCATTTCACAGAAAAAGCATACACGGAAAAGAGGAAGGATTAAAAGACGAGCCGGGACCATCGACCAAAGACGGCAACCACAACCACAAAGGCAATTCATGACCAATTACTATACAACAGTAAGTCACTCGGTAAATTCTAGTAAGTTCTTACAATTCATTGCTGAACTACCATGCTAAGAGCTGCTGTCACAAGGGCAGCATCACAAGATGGGGGAGACTGGGAAGAAGCCAAACTGCCCCGACGAAGCATTCACTTTCAATGCCAACATCCACGATTGCCTAAAACAACCAAAGCCCCGCAATCCCACGCATCAGCTTGCCCTGCCTGAGTTCTGCCACTTTACCTTCTAGCATCGGCCTCAAACGCGAGCAGAACTTAGAATGAAGTAACGAACACATCTGCCATCATGGTCTGGGAGTATTCAAATCTTTGTCTGGGTTTCTGGTGTTGGTGTTGAAAAGTGGATGCGGTTCCAGGATGCATGCGTGCAGTGTGCGCAGGAATAACAAGCCAATTGAACTTGCCAGCTGAAACCAGAACAAGGGCACTGGGATAGGTGTCTTGAACCACCCATCAGCACACCGACAAGCTTTTTCTGTCCAAGCTGCGGATTGTCGCCGATAAGGATGCAATAAAAGGTGACTTCGTCGCCAATATGCAAGCGTAGCTGCCCACAGTCAGATTGTCGAATCCTCACCTCTTTTCCCATGAGTTGTTGTAGAGAATCCGTGCTACCTCAGGCACTTGATGTCACTTGCATGATCTCGCAGGAAACTCTCTCAGTGACTTGAAACACAGTGACGGTTGCCTTGCACACAGTGTTGTACCAAGAACTTACCCCACAGCCCACTCGCACACGCCCGACAGAATCCAAGCTACCATGGGGATCGCCTTTGACCTTGGCTGGCATTGAAGAAACTGCGGCCACATAAGTGTGATGTGCACTTAAGAGTTAAGAGCCACATCTTGCAGCCTGGGGTTGGCAAGAAAATGGACAGTTGGGCCGAACAAATGAGTCCGAAAATGGATGACCGATGACCAACGAAGTTTCATGGTTCATTGAAAGGGTCCCGTGCAGGTGATTATCCAAGGCATAGCCTTTATGTGGTTTTGTTTCCGGGTGATTCATCCGCATTCTTCGGCAGGCGCCAGAGAAAGAGTCCAAAACATGCATTTGTACAGTTTCTCAAAAGCTGCCTGAGGCTTTCAAGATCTTTCAAGGCTCACAGCTCATGCAGTTTGAAGATCAATGGAGCTCTCTCCTTCTACCCTTACTTGATCATTCTAGTTGTGGCTCAGCGCTTTGAAATGCTGCATTGCTAGAGAGAAGCATGTCTTTCATGACAAGTCACGGTCAAAATGCCGTCTGCTGCCTGCTCCCCTGGTAGATGCATCACTTCTCCTAGCAGTCGTCTTACCCGCCGAGTCTGTATAGCCAACGGGTAGTTCTCTTCTCCTTGTGTGACCTGACACTCTGTGGACACTTTGGGTTTCTGTGGCTCACTTCAGCTCCAGGTGAATTTGGGATGCTCTAGGAGGGGCAAGGGTTTCATGTCGGGAAGCTTTTGGAACCAACCGCACCTTGAATCTTACAAACTGGCCATCTCGCACTGGCTCAGCTTCACTGAATTGGGTGCCAACTACCTCAGCCAAATGCAGTCTTGAGAACAAGTCGTGTGATGTTGTTTGTCTCTTTTCCTTAGTCCTTCAGGGTTCTCCATCAAATACCCTGTAAAATAGAGTTTCGACAGTTGTGAGGGCAGATTTCAAGGCAATGGTTCCAAGATGTTCCAAGGCCAGAATGTGATGAATGTGATGAATGTGAAGGGGCAATTGAGACGGCCTGAGCCTCAGTGCTTTCTCAACTCAGGAGGATTGACTCAGCTTGACTATAAGCGTCTATAAGGGCTTGATACATCTTTATACCGCCTCTGGATCCTGGAAAAGGTCCGGCAATTCCAATCCATTTGCCAGATTCTGAAGCTGTCCAGCAACCGCCTTTGTATATCTTTGCATCATTTTGCATCCATGTTACCAGATCTTTTGCCAACGCAGTGGCTTCCTGCCGGGCAAATGTTGCAGGGCAAGATGTGGATTCTGCTAGTAAGTTACTACTGTGGACCTAGAAAGAGAACGGTGCTGCTCAAGACAAATGTGAGCAAACACCTTGTCCGCCCACAAGCAAACTGGGACACAAACGCTCTTTAAATCCAAATGTTAAAATTGACCTGCCGTGTCCTGCACGCACAGGTCTTAGCTAGCAAGTTTGCGAAGAAAAAACAAGCCCTTTCACAGATCCAAACTCAATGGAAGCCTCTGTGGCCCAGCCTCTTTGGAGAGATAAACCTCCCGACCAAAGCGTGCCGTTGTGTCTGCACAGTTGAGCCATCCGAAGCCGCGTTCAGTGTTGAAGTTTTTCACAGTACCTGTCAGATGTGGTTGACCGATGCAAACATAGTGGCCTAGAAAGAGCCATGTGGTTACTGCTGTGCGTTGTCTGAGATCCTCTCCCATGCATTGTTTGCTCTAGCTGTCAGTCTTTCAAGATGGTTTAATGAACAGAAATGAACAGAAGCCAACACACACGGCTTCATGAGCACATCTGCACAGCCCTGGGCACCATAGAAGAACATCTGAGAGAAGTCATCTCCAGCAGCCAGAAGGGGCTCTGCCTGTCAAGGCATGGCACTGCAAAAGGGTGTGTTGACGCGAAATTGCGAAAGTCCGGCTGCCCGGCTGCACCTTCTTTTCTTGGGCCATCGTCAATGGCAAGGCCACACTCACATGCCAAAACCTCAGTGTGGCAGGACCGTACAGTACATCATACAAACTTGTGCCAAAGCTGTACGTCCGTCGAGATGCAGCTACCCTGCACTTGTTCTACTCATTTCATGCAAAACCTGCACAGTTTGAGCTGCTTTGATTGGCCATCATTTTGGCACTCCTAGCCTTTTCCACAGATCCTAAATCCACGGATATTCATCCCATTTCTCTGTGTCCTGCAAAACTTTGTGCCAAAGTGCAGCGGCACAGGCCGAGTTGAGGCGGCTCACCCACTCGCTGAGAGCAAGCTCGGCGGCGGAGATTCCCGTCTACAATGCAACAGTCAGCTGCTATGACCCAGAAGAAATTCTCCGAATGCTGATGATTTGTTTTTGCATCTTTTTGCCGTTTCTACCTGTTCCTCTCGCGGGATGTCGCGGGCACTTCTTCCCTTGTGATACACCACAAAGCTTGATGAAGTATGCAGTGTGAACATAAGAGAATGGCATGCAGCCAGAAGCCTGCAAAGGGGGAAGAGTGGAAAAGGGAAGAAAAGAGATGAAAACAGTATACATCAAGATCTGCTGCGATTTAGAGTCGAAAAGGCTTACAAACCGAGATCACCTGCCCGTCTCCACTACTTCATGCTTAACACGTTGGAGAACTGGTCTACTAGCCTACTAAGGATTGGTAGAGATTAGCGAGATGCATTTTGCTTGAAACTTAGTGCTAGGAGAAACCGCGAACTCCCAAAACAGAACTTGGCGACCTTGGCGCAGGGCGCAGGGTATGTTTTCAACTTCTGGGGGTAAAAAAAGGTTCAACATTATACCCGAAACCTGCAAAAATCTAAGCAAACCTAAAAAATGGAAACTGATCACGGAGGGAGAGAGAGAGAGAGAAGGACACAGAGAGAGAGAGAGAGATATATATATATGTATATAATATATATATAGGTATATATATAATAATCCCTTCCTCCTAATACTAAACCCCCCCCCTTAACACAAAACACGGCAGGTAGTTTTTAGTATTAGGGGGGTATTTATTATTAGGGAACCAAATCGAAGTCATGTTAATTAATTAATTAAATTTCCTTATATAACGCAATTAAAATATTGCCAAAAATGGCAGTTCGAAGCTTACCCCTAATACTAAATTAAAACCCTTAATACTAAAAACTATTTTTTCCGATCTCAAAATCAATTAAATTTCCTTATATAACGCAATTAAAATATTGCCAAAAATGGCAGTTCGAAGCTTACCCCTAATACTAAATTAAAACCCTTAATACTAAAAACTATTTTTTCCGATCTCAAAATCAATTAAATTTCCTTATATAACGCAATTAAAATATTGCCAAAAATGGCAGTTCGAAGCTTACCCCTAATACTAAATTAAAACCCTTAATGCTAAAAACTATTTTTTCCGATCTCAAAATCAATTAAATTTCCTTATATAACGCAATGAAAATATTGCCAAAAATGGCAGTTCGAAGCTTACCCCTAATACTAAATTAAAACCCTTAATACTAAAAACTATTTTTTCCGATCTCAAAATCAATTAAATTTCCTTATATAACGCAATTAAAATATTGCCAAAAATGGCAGTTCGAAGCTTACCCCTAATTGCTAGAGTAGCCAGGCAGCTTGGAGTGAGGGATTGGGACTAGGCCCCCCTAATACTAAACACCCCGGGGTGAACTAGTTTTTAGTATTAGGGGGGAGAACCCACAAATGGTAGGTTGATTTTTAAATTGTTTTTTAAAGGGGATCAATTAAAAGTCAAATTGGCCAAACTGAAATTTTCGGAAATTGGAGATGGATGCCTGTTTTTAGTATTAGGGGGACGTTTAGTATTAGGAGGAAGGGATTATACACATATATATATAATTATACATATATATATATGTGTGTGTGTGTGTGTGTGTCTGTGCGTGTGAGTGTGTGTCTCTCTCATATATCTGCATTAAGTTTCTCTCTCCCTCCCGTCGCTGCGCTGCATGGCCTCCCGCCCCAACAGTTCACGGCCGTTGAGCTCATCAATTGCTCTTAAGGCCAACTCGCTGCTGGCAAACTGCACCTTGCCTCGAAATCCGAAACCCAAGGGCCGATCGCGGCAGATTCGTGGCAGGTCGTGGCGGATCAACACATGACCAAGGTGGGAGACTTGGAATGCAAATGGAATGCAGTTGGAATGCACTTGCCAAATCTTGCCAATGGTTCTTTGAAGCACGTGGTTTTCAGTGCTGGAGCCTGAACCTTTGGATTTGCCATTCTCGCGATTGGTGAAGACTGCAGCATAGCAGACCTGCAGCTGACAACTCAGAAACGTGCAACAGACCTGATTCACCAGATCCACGAGGCAACCTGTGGTGCCGATATGTGCTGAAGGTGTTTGCCAAGCCTCGCCGACCTGTTGAGCGAAGGCTTTGAGGCCATCAGAGTCCAAATCCCAGCTCAGCCCTGCGAGATCGGTCATTTGAATTCATTTGAATTCATTTGATTCATACAATGCAATACAAGCCTATTGGTCTTCTTCGTCTGCTCATGTGTCCTTCTTCTCTGTGGCAGTGTTTAAACGATCAATGCCATCAGCATCTCCCTTGAAATTCACCCCAAGGGGTCAGACCCCGCTATGTGTAGCTATAAACCGCGGGGCCTTGCAAAAAGCCTACAAAATGAATGGGTGCAAGTAAAATTTTATCCCTTCAAAATGGTGGGGCTTCTTTCATCAAACGGCTCTTTGCAGCACCCCTACATTTTGTAGGGAGGTATATTTTGCCCGGATGTTTGATTTCTATCTTTTTCTGAGTATGAATTTTGCTTGAATGCTTGGACCCTGAACCCCAAAAAAGGCATCATTTTGTAGGAACCTGTTGCTCTGCCATTTCCCTGCGTTTTTCTCAATTGTCTTTAAGGAACCCATCCTTTTTGTACGGAAGTGGGTGCAATGATATGTGCGGCGTGTTTTTTTTACAATGTTGACAAAAAGTGAAGCGTTCATACCCCTTCTTTTGCCCAAGAGTTGAGTTGTGTTGGAAAGCCAGGCTGACACGGACAAGTGGCATGGCGTTGCATTTTGAAATAATCGTAGTTGAGTTGCAGATAAACAGAGTTGCAACTACTAAGATCTCAAAATGCAACGCCATGCCACTTGTCCGTGTCAGCCTGGCTTTCCAACACAACTCAACTCTTGGGCAAAAGAAGGGGTATGAACGCTTCACTTTTTGTCAACATTGTAAAAAAAAACACGCCGCACATATCATTGCACCCACTTCCGTACAAAAAGGATGGGTTCCTTAAAGACAATTGAGAAAAACGCAGGGAAATGGCAGAGCAACAGGTTCCTACAAAATGATGCCTTTTTTGGGGTTCAGGGTCCAAGCATTCAAGCAAAATTCATACTCAGAAAAAGATAGAAATCAAACATCCGGGCAAAATATACCTCCCTACAAAATGTAGGGGTGCTGCAAAGAGCCGTTTGATGAAAGAAGCCCCACCATTTTGAAGGGATAAAATTTTACTTGCACCCATTCATTTTGTAGGCTTTTTGCAAGGCCCCACGGTTTATAGCTACAAATAGCGGAGTCTGACCCCTTGGGGTGAATTTCATGGAGGATACATCTATTTATAAATATGTATATAATTATATATATATATACCAATATATATTAGTCAACATTCCCTAGTTTGTGAATTGCTGTTTTTCTTTTTGGGTAACATGGGCATGGCCAAAGTCCAAAGACAGGGTGTCGCACAATGGCTGCCCACAGCCAGAACGAGAAACAGCAAAAAAAAAACCATGGGGCTCAAAGAGCGCTAAAGGTTTGCTCACACCAGCCAAAATCCCTGCAAAGCATGAATTCCCTACAAAATGACCATTAAAAATCAACAGAGGGATTCCTTACAAAATGGATCGCCCCAACCCAGCCAAGTTTTCAAACTGAATTTTGAGATTGCTATATGATAGAGATTTTTTGCGTAAATCATCTTTTTATTGCTCTTACAATATGGCCAGGTGCAGGCAGGCTCCCTACAAAATGGCCTCCGAAATGGGCCTTGAGCCCCTTCAAATTACTAGTACATGCTACAAAATGGCTGGGCTCTTGAAAGTGATTTCCTACAAATTGACCCTAGAAATCGGGCTATTATATGGGCCTGGAGGCCAGCCATTTCATAGGGGAAATTTCAACGGGGATCCATCAGCCATCTGAGTAAATTATGTGGATAGGGTATATGTTGTCAACATATCTATCTCTATGAGCATGTCATCTCTGCCTACATCTACAATGCGCCGTCTCCGTCTGCAAACGAAACATGCAGAATTGAATAGACTTGACTGGTTCCAGCCTCCCATGAAAACAGTACGCCCATCAGGCTCCTGGGGCGGCTTCTCGCCTGATACAGCCGCAACTCTGTGCCTAGATCCTGCTAAAAGCATTACATGGTGTACACATGTGTGCACAACGCAAAACATGGCATGGCAAGCCGCCGGCAAAAGTCGAAGGGTGAAAGATTGAAACATGGCTGACAACACATTCATTCTGATGGCGACATTTACATGCTTGCTTCAAGCTGGACTACCACCAACTGCAATAGAATGTGTGTGCGTGAATCTCGCTATGGGTCATGTTGGTAATAATTAAACACTGGTTGAATTTCTGTCATCAACAAGCAGGGGGCCAGTGCATGACATCACGACACTGGCCAATGAAGCTAGTGATGTCATGGGAAGCGGTTGGAGACGTCTAACCGTGTACCTGCAAAAGAATGTGAAATTTCAAGCTGTTGCGATCAGGCTGTTGCAGGTTCACAGGTGTCCGTAGGGGCACGTCATAACTTACGACCATCAGGACGACTTCTTAGGAAACGTCAAGGCAAAGACGATGCCAGCATAGCAACGATCCCTTTTATAGAGTAATTTGTTTACTCTATCAACAGTGTGTGTGTGTGTCTCTCTCTCTCTCTCTCGTGCTGGGCATCTGTCATCTGCTGAACAGCAGTGGATGGTGTTAGCTACAGTACATGGGGAAGAGTTCAAGGGAACGACTATTTCATATGGTGCAAAGGTTTCTATAAACCACCATCGACACGGGATGTGGAACAATCACACAAGGGTCACACAAATTTGATCCTGATACAATTGCATACAATCGCCAGGGTGCTGCAGGACTCCGCAAATTTGCAGGCCTGGGCGGCGCAAGCTCAAGCGACTGCCCTGCAGCATAGCACCTTCCAACTCCTGCAGGGGCTCCATCTACGTGGGATCATTTCAGGGTCCTTTCCACTTGGTCCTGGTGGTGCTTGTCGTGCTGCTCATATGTGCCTACATTATATGATATTAATTGATATTAATATTATTAATTATTAATTATATGATATTCTGTGTTGCATCGGCCCATGTTCCCTCAATGTTCCTTCTGTGTGTCAAGGAATGGAAGGGAAGAATCCGGGTTGCGTATCTACCAGAATCTCAACTTGGCAAATCTGCATCGTATCGTAGCACATCCGAAACGTTGAAGCCAATCATGCATACCCTTCCCCTGTTTCTGAGGCTACTTATGTTCGCAACTGTTCTGCAAGTACATGCAGTATGTGCACTGAGGGCCCATGGCGAAACAGTCCCCCAAAAGGGCACAAGGCACTTTTGACATCTTTTGAGACGGCCTGCACTAGCTGAAATCAGCAGGATGATGATGCTCCCATTTGCTCCTTGTGAGCCCTTTTAAGCTGGAGTGCTGCCAGGGAATTGTCGTTGGATTCCTTCAGAATTTGTGCCACACGCTGCCCTTGTCCGGCCTTTGTGCAGGCATCGCTAAGCACTTCCGATGCCACTGCATCTTGCAGGTCTTTTGCTACATCCAAAACGTCCAGGGCAAATGACCAACTGGCAGAAACTGCACATGCTGCAGCAGCAGCGCTTACAGCGGGGAGAAAGCTTTGCGGCAAGGCTGCCAATGCCACCACGGCTCGTGGCCAACACCACCCCGCCTTCCATGCACTTACCAGCGCCCCGTTTGCCACTCCGTCCGTCGCGGCATCACTAGGCAGCAATGTTTGTAGTCCTCGCTGCCATGCACTTGCACTGATGCCAGCAGAGGCGCAAGCGCTTCGCATCACCAAATTCGACTCGAGCTGCTGTCGCTGATGCGCAACAAGCAAATGGACCGCCTTTTGCCACTCCTCGTTCCCTTCGCACGCACTAATTAAAGATCCAGCGACCACTGCATTGCTTTGTTGGTGTTGGCTGAAAGCCTCCGCCAAGAAATTACATGCCATCGCCCAATCACCAACGCGGTCCATGGCATGAGCCAAGCTGCCGAGGCTTACCACGCTGGTCAGGGCTTGCATTCGAAGTGCCATCGGCCATGCTGTGCTGCGAAGGGCAATGTTGATAGCAACCATATTGGGCTGAATGCTTATCCAGTGCATGAGGGGAAGAAGGGCCAGTGATTGCCGCCACTGCTTCAAAACTCTCTCGCAGCTACTCATTGCTGCTGTTGCGGCAATGGCACCAACTTGCAACCGCAAGATCTGTTGATTGAAGAACAACCTCAGGGCGCTTCGCCACTGCGAGGCCGTCTCGCAGGAACTAATGCCCGAGCCGTACAACACAACACTTGTTTTGAGCCCATCATTGCACGAACTGGCCATGAAATCCACCGCCGCTTTCCACTGACCATCTGGATCGCAGCTGCGTGTGACTGCTCCGTATGAGACGATACTAGACCGAAGTTGTTGGCCTGGCAAGCGGGCGAAGAGCATCAAGGCCCCACACCAAACTGCGTATGCAGAGCTGATTGCTGCATTGTAAGTGATGGTCTGCATCTGGACGTTTCGCCTGTTAACTTCTGCAAGAAGTTCCAAGACCATGTGCCAAGCTTTGCAGGCGCTCATGCACGTGTTGAAGGAAATTATATCTGGCTGCAACTTGTCTAGCCCTGTCAAAATCTGGAAGGCTTTGATCCATCGATGACCTTTTTCGCAAGCGCTGATCGCCGCGTTGCAATGGACCAAATTTACCTGGAGGGCGTTCACATCGAAACCTTCTAGTACTTGCAACGCATTCCCCCACTGCGTAATTTTCGCACAAGTGGCGATTGCACGAGTTGCAAGAGAACATTGCGAGCCTTGACCCCCACCCAAAAAACTAAAAGCTTCCTCCCACATTGGCAGTAATTGCCATGCTTGAAGCCAAAATGGCTGAGTCCTTTTCCTACTTTGCACACGTATATGTATATGTTTGTATGTAGTGATTGAGTTGTCTTGTCTTATTAGTTTGTTTATGCCCTTTATTTATGTCAGCCTGTGCACAAATAAATAACATAAATAATATAATATAATATAATATAATATATATAATATATAATAAATTTTATACATGATTGTGCGTGTAATTCTATTGGTGTATATAAAGGGATATATATATATACATATATATATATGTGATTTTATATGCATATGTATATATATATATATAAATATACATACTATAGTATAGATATGTATAGATTAGTATATATAGTATAGTATGTGTGGTGGAATGCTAGACGCTGATGCCATCCCACACTGCCCAAGTGCGGCAAAAAGAAAAGCAAACAACCACTCCAGCGCAGCCAGTAAGAGCAGGCACAAATCCACAAGCACACCTTCAACGGGTAACATGTCCTTCATGGCCCGATCCACCAGCTCTGGCGAAGCTAGCCTCTGCCATTCGGATCCATTCAATCGGAATGTTTCTGACAAATGTTTCTGCAAGTTGCCGATACTTGAACCAACTTGTTGATACTTTTTAAGGAAGCGCATGAAATTCTTGCAGTTCACACCCCATCCAAGGTTCCAGGCTCGAGCTTTGCACTACCCTTCGGCTCACCCGTCTCTTTGTCCGTGAAGACACTGCAGTACGCAACCTTGAAACCCAGTACGGCTGAATACAACAGAAAGCTTACGCGAGCTAAGTTTGCACCTGGGGTGTGCTAGGGGGTGCTTCTTACCACCAGGCGGTCGCTGCATCCATGTGATCTCACGCGCCAGCAAATTCATGACCGAGTTAGCCATGGCTGATCGGAGCATTGTGATCACATGCTGAGGAACCCAAGAATGCTTTGTTAAGACTAAGGCAGGAGCTGCACCATCGCCCAAGCAGCACTCGCAGAACTCTCGGAGCATCTAGCATGAGGCAAGTAGGCACATGGTAGACTCAGTACTTAAAGCTACAGTTGAAGCGTGTTGAAGCGTGTTGAAGCGTGTTGAAGCGTGTTGAAGTGTGTTGAAGCAACTGATAGCAACTGCCACCTCTGTCGATGTCTCCGTGGACAGTGAAACGAAGAGGTGACGACCGCCTTGGGCGAAGCTCATCTCAGCACCAAGGCAAACATGTGAAAAGCTATAAACTCCGCGTCATGAGTGGACTGTGCTATTCATCCTCTGACTTTTTAGTGCATCAAATGTCGGCACATGGCAGCGAAGTGTATGCTTCCTCTGATGGTTGCCACGTTGCCACTCTACCCCTCTTGCATGATTTCTGTGGTTATAGGATGATATAGGCAAGAAGCTGTCTGGTGGTCGCAAGCCGGGAGGCGGCCGAGTCGGGGCGAGCCTCGGGCCAAATGTGACCTAAAGATGCCCAAAAATGCCTAAAGAATCCTAAAGATCCCAATGGAGAACTTCAACAAGTTGATGAGGACTGTTGCAAGACCCAATGTCGGGAAGCGCCGCAACAGCACAGTGACTTTTTCTTCGCATTGGAAACTAGATGAACGTCGCACTGCTACCCCTGCAGTGTTGGACAATCCCCCCACAACAGGATCGCTCTGGAACTGTGCTACAATGCTCTACTCATCAATCTTTGGAGCCAGGTAGAACTTCATGTGGCCATTTTCACCTGACTCCAAGTCATACTTCACCAAAAGGGGAGCATCTGGACCCAAGCCCAACTCAACTGAGCCGCAAAGTTTTTCCGCCTTGGAGAAGTTCACCAAGTAGCGAAGGGCAAAGGTGGCAGTCACCGGCTCGTGAACTGTGAGGGTCACCTTTTCCTCAGGCTTCTCTCCTTCGCGAGGCTTCAAAACGACATTGCCACTGCCGAGGTCGCCTTGAACCATGAACTTCAAGCCTTCTTTGCTGCCAGTGATTTGGATCGTCTCTCCAAACTCCTTGAGATCTCGGCAAATCTTCTGAAACTCTGCAGAGGGGATGCGAGCCACGACCTTGTAGTGCTGCTCCGGAATCTCCATGTGTTCACTCTCAATCTGCATGAGTTTGAGATCAAAGTCTGCCAGGCGATCATCAGAACCCTCACACTGAAAATTCACAGTGTCTGCATCGCTCTGGTAGCGAATCTTCAAAGAGTCATTGGCTCCTGTCATCTTCAAGATCTTGGTCAGGGAGTCAATGTTCATGCCCAATGACACTGGGCGATCGCATTTGAACTCCGAAAAGGCACATTCTCTAAGCAACAAAGACACCAAAGCCACATGGGAACTGTCCATACACTGTACCTCAATGCCCTTCTCGGAGCAGTCAAAGTTCACGTCCTTGCACAGGTCCTTCATCGACTCCGCCACCTTTTTCAAGAGAGAAGCATGCTGGAGCTGCGCCTCAGGAACCATTGTCGCGAGGGTTGCCTAAGTTGCCTACAAGGTCAATGACGGTCAATGCTACACCTAAAACAAGTTCGAGCCAAGATCCTGCGCCGAAATTACAGCCCGACATGGATTTCTCATGAATTCACTATACGCTGAAAGAACCTCCCAGCCCCTTGAACATGGTTAAGCAGTTAAGCATGGTTAAGCAACCATGATGTGTCTCTCCATTTCCATCTCCATCATCTCCAGCCACTGGGAGATTGACCACCACCAAATTCAACTGTAGGACTTCATGATCTTCGTTGGTGAGAAAATAAAGCGAATGCTTGCAAATCGGCCCACCTATTGGTCAGCTACAATCATCTTCCTTTCCAAGGAACGGTGGCTTCGCCTCCATCAATTTCACCTCAGAAAGACTGGAAATTTAAAGAAATGATAGCTTCATATAGCTTCTGGATGTTCTCGGCATTTCTTGGATGCTAAGGCATTAATTATCAACTGTTAAAGACAAACATATACAAAAATCAATAAACCCTCTTGTTGTTTGAAGGCAGTCGGGTCATGGAAGTAGGTCCCAATAAATGTGAAAGTCAGTTGGCCATGGTGCATGTCGACTGGTTGTGTCTTTTCCCAGATCAGTTCGAAACCCTGATGCAGCTAGGCCACAAACAGGATCATTTCTCAAACACTGTTGGGTGCCCTAGAAATATTACGGCTTCCCTGGTGCATGCCATGTGTCCTTCGACTATAAAAAGTATGGGCAAACCACAGTGTTGATGGGGCGTGGTCGTCCTGAGGTGATTTATATTGTAAAACTTCCCCATGCCAGAACTTGCAGTAGTATGATATGCAGTGAATATGCAGTGACATGATTCTGAGCAAAATCTCCACAACATCACATATATCTCATGCAGCTGGCGAGTCACATGCAGCTGGCGGCCGTCCAATTCAGAGCCATCCAGCTGCTGCACAGCCATTCGAGCAGCCTCTGGCGTCTGGAATTCCACCTTGCCACTGCCTGGATCCAACATCATACTATCATCATACTATCATCATGCATCATGCACTCTCCGGGAAGGCTGGGAAAGCTGGGGCGGCTGGGACGGATCATTTTATGTCATGGTACCATTCTGCTACAAGATGCGCACTAATGCTTTCGTCTGCCTCGTGACTTCCCAGTGCCCTTCACGCTGAATGCAGATGCATAAACCACATCCCCCACTTGGGCAAAGTGTTGGTGCAAACCTGGCGTGATGGTGGACATAGATGGACATAGATGGACATAGATGATCATGGATGGACCTGTGACTCGGATCCACTCTTGATTCTTGATGTCCCTGGGATTCCCTGGGTCTCTTCAGCGAGACAACATCTCTCACTCTCTGGAAGCTCAAATGCCGCAGCCGCCGTGGCATCACCTACTGTGACCTACTACCATTACCACCCTCAGGGTACCAATTGCAGCCCAACAACTGCGGCAACAACCACAACTTCAGCCCCGGCAAAATCAACTGAACCGAGTGATGATATCAGGATGTATCAGGTGGAGAGGGGCCAAAAAGATAAACAGTGCCTATCTCTGCAGCAATTTAGTCGGCAACAAGCAGGTGGTTTGCGAAGGCGCTACTGGATTAATACTTGCTACGCATGCTACGCATGCTATGCATGCTACGCCGTCAAACCGGCAAAACATTGAACTCTATACGCACATTACGCACAGCCTTGGCACATGCTTTGGGTAAATTCTCCAGCAAAGACAGAAAACCGTGATGACATTACGATTGAATCGAGGACATTCGTGGGCAACCTTCGCTTTGTCTATCACGCCTTCGCTCGTGGTGTCGAAATTGAGACCACCAACAAATACAGTGGAATCCTTAGCTTCTCAGATTCTATTTTCCTTGAAGACCAGGGGTCTTGCGTCTTTTGGATATGCATGGCGAGGCTGCACATGCTTTAGCACCACCTACTCATCCAACAGCGAAAACAAACATGCCTCGCTGACAAATTCCCCAAGTGATTTCTCTCTTCTTCTCTCTTAAATTTATTGATTTCTTGTGATTTCATGACAATCGAATGAGGACATATCCTGCATCCAAAACTCCAGCTGCGGTTTCCCAGCATCCAATCGCACAGCGATACGGTTGGAGACATAGAAGGTGTCATGCCTCTACTGGATACAGCTGTAAAAAATCAAGAGATAGGTCAACTCAAAAAGGAGCAGAAAAAACAAATGGAACGATACGTCTCAACATCCCTGCTCTGCGAGAATAAGGTTTTGGGAGTGGTATTTCCAGGCGCCAAGTTGCAGAACGCTCACCGCACGTGAAGCTTCTTCTGCGCTACCCTTGGCTTCGCATTTTACCCGGAGCCAATTGGAGACGATTGAGCAAAGGGACGCAGAGTGAGTTGCTGCCATGTTCCTGTCCAACCCTTCCTCTTGGTGCCCTCCTTCAATTGCCAAGGCTGATCTACAAAGGTTTAAAGTTGAAATGAATTCTGGCCAAGCACTACAACTGATTAAAGACACACAAAGCCGAAAATTGAAAGACTTACATAAAGCCCAGCTGGTCGAATTTATATAAGCTGAAGGGCAGCTCCAAAGCGAGCAAACATGGACAATCAGAATCCGATCCAATGATCTCTTGAATGTTGCTCTTGGCATCCCCAACCATAGGACAATAGGTACTTGCTTGCGTCAAAGCTTGTCCCACACAGTGACCTGGACCTAGTTTGCTTTCCCACCTCTGCAAAAGCTTCAACCCCCAACATCCAATGAGGCAAGAAACCATCACAGCACGCCCGGAGCAATTGCCGTGAGATCGGAAAACTGACACCGATAGAACCTGCCCACTACTAGCACAAACAACCGCTTTGAAGTTCCCAAAAAAAGCAGGCTGACATGTCTTGTGGTTGCTGCCTCGCTTCTTCCCATCTCTCCTCCTTTCCTAACATGTTTGCAATGGGCCAGGCCTCACCCGTCTGTTGCAACAAATCCTTGAGCTGCTCTTCTGAAACCTGCATTGGGCAGAGCAGCAAACTCCGGTAGGTCAAACAATTTCAGAAGGCAGGTGCCAGCTGAAGATATTGCAGGCAAATGCAAGACTGCCCTTAGTTTTGACACTCAAAGGCTCAATGCCTAGTTCGACGCAATCGCGAGCAGCCCTCACGTTCTGACATTTTAAGGACTATAGTTGAATTGCAACTGGAATTACTCTGGTAGGTTTTGCTTGGCAAGCGCAAACAGTCCCGCAAACATGAGCCTCTTCTGGTAGGTTCCCAATGAAGAGCTTGCAGTCTGGATCAGCCGTTTCTCGCACTACCCGACTCGGCCTCTCCTGCCTAGGGACAGCCGGGCAGTTGTCATTTTTGGGCCGTGGGTATGAAAGGAAAACTAGATAAAGAAAAACTGCTAAAATGCGTGCATGTACATGTATATATACGTTTACACGCACTAGAATGGAACTGGATCATTGTAGTGATCCGTCGGCAACTGAATCCCAGAAACGTGCAACTAGAAAGGATATATATATATATATATATGAGACTATGGTGGCCACCAGCTGCGACTTAAATGTGCCCAGGTGCACCACCACAGTCCCGCAGGTACGTTTACACGGGTCCCGGGGAGGCGTCTTCGTTGATCACCGACCCCCGCGGGACCCCGGTGATCCCCTGCTATAATAAAATATTAATAAAATAAGCGACCAGCGAAGTTTTGAATCTGTTCAGACGTTGCACACACACACACAAACAGATGTATATATATATGTGTGTGTGTAATTATGTATCTATGTATCTACGTATCTACGTATCTACGTATCTACGTATCTACGTATCTACGTATCTATCTATCTATCTATCTATCTATCTATCTAATCTAATCTAATCTAATCTGATCTATTCTGATCTAATCTAATCTAATCTTATCTTATCTATCTATCTATCATCTATCTATCTATCTACCTATCTATCTATCTATCGATCTATGTATTCTATGTATTCTATGTATTCTATGTATTCTATGTATTCTATGTATTCTATGTATTCTATGTATTCTATGTATTCTATGTATTCTATGTATTCTATGTATTCTATCTATCTATCTATCTATCTATCTATCTATCTATCTATCTATCTATCTAATCTATCTATCTATCTATCTATCTATCTATGGATGGGTGTATGTGTGTATGTGTGTGTGTATGTGTGTATGTGTGTGTATGTGTGTATGTAATGTAATGTAATGTAATGTTATGTTATGTATGTATGTGTGTCTGTCTGTCTGCCTGCCTGGCTGTCTGTCTGTATGTACGTATGTACGTACGTATGTATGCATGCATGCATGTATGTATGTATGTATGTACATATATTCCTCTTCATTCGTGCGCTCGTTCGTTCGTTCGTTCGTTTATGTATATCTTTATCAATCTATTCAATTAGTGAGTTGGTTAGTTAGTTAGAGAGTTGGTTAGTTAGTTAATGTTAGTTAGCTAATGTTAGTTAGTTAATGTTAGTTAGTTAAGGTTAGTTGGTTAACGTTCGTTGGTTGGTTGGTTGGTTGGTTGGTTGGTTGGTTGGTGGGTTGGTTGGTTGGTGGGTTGGTGGGTTGGTGGGTTGGTGGGTCGGTCGGTCGGTCGGTCGGTCGGTTGGTTGGTTGGTTGTTGTATCAGTGTGTGTGCACTGACACTGTTATACATCATTATAGACATGCATTGTAACAAATTTCTTGGTCCTTGGGAACATGAGACAAGGATAGATAGTTGGAGATGTTGTCTCTTCATGCCTTTCAATGTACCCTGCACCATGGGATCTGTGTTGCGCAAATATTTTGCAAGCAGCGACCTCCTCAAACGCTGCTGAAGTCCAAAAACAAATTGCCAAGTCGTCCAAGCTTCTCCATGATTCGTGCAGAAAGGCGGTGTCCGTCCAGTAAACGGCCATTTAGCTCCTGTGGCATCATGGAAGGACACTTGCACACCGTCACAAGGAGTTATTCCATTCCCTTTCCATGTCACTCATTTGAACACGGAGCATCACATGGCCAGCGGATGCCTATTACCAAGCGACTTTGGGCAAACCACTACATATCAATAATATTTTTCATGCGCTACATTGTGCCACTCTGTTTGTGTCAAATGTATACAGATGTGACAACTTGTCTACACATGTCTACACATTTGTGGTAGACAGCACGCTGCAGCGGCCTCGCCTGGATGGCCTTCTGTGCCAGCTCTGCCGTCTGAAACTCGACTTTCCCAGTCCCTTTGGACTCGCCTGTCTCGCGGTTCAGAAACCTCAGGAGGCTCCCAACTCGAATGTCCACACAAGTGTCTGCCCTCGGTAGTATCATTGCAGTATCATGTTAATCACATGTAATCACAATGTAGTCTGCAGTCGCAGGCCAATGGCTAATGCTGGTCCAGCTCGGTGTTTTGTCACAGTGCCTCAAACCACAAGATGCTCCGCCAATCTGCCTCCAAGTGACACACGTGATGTATCCACATTCCCAACTGCAATCTGGCAGAATTCTCGCAGCATCTCCGATGTGGTACCTTGGTCGGCACATGGAACTCCTTCCAAGACAATGATGGCTCCATAAACTCTAAGGCCACCGTAGCTCCCCACCGTGTGGCATTTCATGACCTTACTTGTTGAAGACTTGATTTATGTCTCAGAATCCGGCCCGGAGTTAGGCCAGCAATGAAGACTTGCCGGCCATCAACCTGCCAACGAAAGCACAGCTTCAAAATCTGCCCAAAAAAAAGGCGAGGTGAAGCACACAATTCCAGTGATGCTGCAAGGGTAGAGAAGCACAGCAACGAACCACAGAAACGAACCACAGAACTCATCAATTTCATCAAATCTCACCAGCATCAGCACTATTCACCACTCTCTTGTTGCACCTGTGGACGTCGCGTCTCCGAATTCTCTGGCGCCTACAGGCACAAAGAGAGCTCATAGCGCAGCAAGGTTCATCCAAAGCCTTCCCCGTGCCTGTCCGAAAGGCTGCACGGAAAGCTTCCTGCCGTGGAAATCTACTCCTGCCAGCTGCTTGACTGCCTGAACGGCCAAGTCTTCTGTTTCGAATTCCTTGGGGCTTGCACTGGCTGGTGGCAGGTGGTTGCACTGATTGCCAGAATATGTCATGTGATCTTTCGACTATGCTCAAAAACCAAGGCAAAACCACTACTGCAAGGACTGCAAGTACTGTTTTCCAACACATCCAACACCTTTCAAACTCTGCCAGCTTGCTGGGCCGAATTGATACAGAAGCCGAGGTGCTATTTTGCCACAGTTTCGAGAACGACCACTATCTCGATCACGGAAGATGCGCGCAAACGTGACTGGCCCAATTCTGGAGGCCAATTCCAGCAAAGCTCCTGACTAGCCAAAGGAAGCTGCACTTACATAATCTTACACTTCCAATGACTTGGACACATCGCCTCATATGTGGCTACGCGGCTACACATGGCTACACCATGCTACGCTGCTAAGTTGACTTGGTACGGCCAAAAAACAAGTATTGACAGGTTGTGCTACATGATCAGGGCATGGTTGCTCCATGTTTGCTCCATGTTTGCTCCATGTTGCTCCTTCATCCATTTCTGGCGCCAAACCTCCAACAAAAACCGTGCTTTGCGGCTTTGGCACCTCACGCTGCAAGAATCCACATTTCTGGTAACATGACTACATATGACTACTGTAGGAAATAGGTTCGATAGGTGCGTTCCTGTCATCTCTCGTCATCTCTTGTCCATGCGTGTTTGGAGGTGGCGAGGATCATATATTCTCCGGGGCCTTCACTGGAGGCTTTCGTTCAGATGACATTGGCTCCACTGTCAACTCTTTTCCTCCCAGGGCCTGTCACGTACCAAACGAAAACGAGGAACATAAAAGACAACCAGGAAAAGCTGTACGTGGTCAAAGGATTCAGAAGCCTCCTAAGACAACTGTGGGAAACGAAAGCCGCCCTTTAGTACCCTTTGAGTAGAAGATTGAATATGTACATCTATACATCTATACATCCATACACCTATCATCATCTATCCATCTATCCATCTATCCATCTGTCCATCTATCCATCTGTCCATCCATCCATCCATCCATCTATCGATCGATCTATCAATCCATCCATCTATCTATCTCTCTGTCTGTCTGTCTGTCTGTCTATCTATCTATCTATCTATCTATCTTTCTATCTATCTTCTATCTATCTATCTATTTTTCTATCTATCTATCTGAGCAAAAGTATATAATACATATACATATGTATATATGTATATATATCCATCTATCTATCTATCTATCCATCCATCCATCCATCTGTCCATCCATCCATCCATCCGTCCATCCATCCATCCATCCATCTATCCATCCATCTATCCATCCATCCATCTATCCATCTATCCATCTATCCATCCCATCCATCCATCCATCCGTCCGTCCATCCATCCATCCATCCATCCATCCATCCATCTATCTATCTATCTATCTGTGTGTGTGCATATTATGTGCGATATATGCATATAGCATTATATAGCCGTTCTCAGGTGGATCCCGACTGATGATACTAAAATATACTAATGCCTTTGAATCATCTGAGGACAGCGCCTTTCCATTGAGTTTGAGGACTGCCTCTTCTGCCAGTTCAACGGATGCATACTCTACCTTGCCACAACCTCTCGACTGCCCAGTCCTGGACTGAAACTGTGCCACGGCTCTAAAGGCTTAAGCGATCCAGAAACTCTTGCGAGATCTTGCAACGCTGTGACAGGAAGCAAGAATTGCAAAAGTGCGGGAATAGATACAAATGTCCTTTCTTGTTCTTTCTTCTATTGGAGATTTCAGTGAGCCGCACATGATCAAGAAAAATAACTAGTGTATGAAAAACCGGCATTTACGGGGAATGGATGCCAAGCTAGAAAGGATCACTAACACAGCCGCCCTTCCCTTTTCATATCCTGCTTAGTTTCATTCATTTGGACCACAAATTCCATTGACAGTTGCGGCACCGCAGCCCACCAGCCAACCAACAACATCATGGAAATCCACGCAAAACTTGAAACGTGATCACATCTGGCTTGCAACACAGATAGATTCAATCGGGGTCCATCCTACGTGGTATTACGTGGTTGTACCATGTTGTACCCCACATTCATTCACTTCGCCAAGATGCTGACGGTCAACGAATATTCGCACGTAGACTACTTCACCTCAGAAGCGTTGCACCAATCTGCTCACCACCCCCAAGTAGGAGGTGGTGAAATTGATGGCTGTCAACCAAACTGCGATGCTATCTGCTATCCGTCCCTCGCAAAGTCCTTGCAGCCGCAGGGCCTATTCGTGAAGCAAAGGCTTGCCTTGGTGCTCCCGAGGCACAGTGAAGCATCACTCATTCTGTGTAACATGTAAAGAAACTCCAAATAGAGTGAACCTAAGCCTAGCCAGATGTACTAAGTGACGCCAAAGACAAACACACGGAGAACTTCAAGAACGATGGTCATTCCTTGTTTGGGCCTTTCCTGACACAAGGTGAGACGTAGCCAATGTGCAGTGTCAACTGATTCTGATCAAAGGTGCACAACAGTCCGATGCGAAATACCTGTTGTCCGCTCAAAGAATTAAACTGCACTGCTTTCAGCACACAGTCTTTACCCAAAAAAGTGGACGGATGAGTTCCTGATTCTGGTCTGCCTATCGTATCTCGGAGAACGATGAGAGCGCCACGTTCATCAGCCGTGAAGGTTCGCCCCCTATGCCCCGCACATGATTTCCACCCTGCGGACCCCCGTGACCGCCGCAGCAGCTATGGATGCAGTGTTTACGCTTGTTTATCCAAACTTCGCTTGTATAATATTATATAATCTTATCTTATAAATTATTAGAATCTATATGATCTAAGATTTCCTAAGGGATACCAGGTGAATCCAAGCGACAGTTCCTCTCTGGTCACGCTGGGGTCCAAGTTCCCTATGAACACGGCGCAGCCAGTGTCACGGCGCTGCCTGAGATCTGCATGCTTTCCATATGTTTTGCATGGAAAACCGTGTTTTCGTCTCCTATTGTCTCCCGTTTGCTATCGTTTGTTTCCTTTTGTCTGTTTTTGTTTTCATTTTGTTTCGCTTCCCCCACCATATCAGACCAGTTGGAACCTAGCAACCAAAAGTGCAAGGGAACGTCGGCCAAAGATTGAACCGTGATTTGAGCACCATCCAGCGTGCTTCCATTTAGATCTTGAATAGCTCGCTCTGCTGTTGCTCGACAGTCAAAATCCACCTTTCCAGTGCAGTTGGAACTACCACTATCCTCAGGCGCACAGGATCTGCTCAAGCCGCACAGGTTCATTGGTTGAACTCAAATCACCCTGCTAGGCAACCTAGGCATAAATTCAGAAAGGAGCATTCAATTATTGACCAAAAAAATAACAACTGTAACTTTTCTAAAAATGCTTGAAATCACTTGGCTCCAAGTTGCTGGATCCATGTAGACCGTCGCATAGCGAACTTCACCTACACTTTGGCAGAACTCCCCCAAGGTTTGCGGCAGCGTGTCGCCGCTGAGCCCTGAGCATGCTCGTTGAAAGCCCGCACTTTCAGGGCTATTTGATGCTATTTGACTCAGGGCGAACTGCATCGAATGGCATTTGCTCACCAAGGAACCGGAGACAAAAATCTTTGACTGCAAATCTCTTGGAGGTCGAACAGCTGGGCGCCTAGGTTTTTGGCACATTTTGGCACACTTGTCCAGGAAAATGTTCTGGGTCTGTGCCAATGTAGGCGTTGAGACAAGCTATGACAAGCTACGAGCGCTCTCGCGCTTGTGCTGGTGGCACTTGTGCTGATGGTGTTTGCGCGGGCACTTGGGCGGCTGCCTTTGCGAAACAGATATGTTTGTGATGGCAGGCTTTGTCAGTACGGAAGGCTCGAACTCTCCAACTCTGTTGTGGTCAATCTTCGAGTGATCATTTGCACCCTTGGATTTCGAGCCTTGCCTGCACAGGCCGCACGGGCCTCTGAAGTTCCAGTTCTGGATGGCTATCCTGCACACGAAATGGGTGAGAAAATGACGCACTCAGCAAGAGAGGAGTTCCCGAACATGTCAGCTGCTCCGCAGCCGCACAAAGGCCAGCAAGGCCAGTGGGATACATGAAATCTATCTATCTATATATACAGTATATATATAGGGAGAGAAGAGTATGGAAGATCTATAGTGAGAGAAGAAGAGGGAGATCTCTAGGGATAGACAGGTATGAAATATTTGCTGTATGTAAAATAGTGTGTGTAATTGATTAGATCTGTAGTTATCTCTCTCTCTCTCTCTGTGACATGCTTTGAGGTATCAGGTTTTTTGTCTACACAAGACAGGGCAGATGAAGGTATTTGCGATAATGTCCCAATGCCCCTCCGGTCCTTGTGCACTTGACTGTAGCGCTTCCACGGGTCCTCTTGGTCAGAAACAAGAAGGAAGGACAAGGCTCTCTGAGACCAAATTTCGAAGACAAGGAGGAGGATAGCTGGTGTGCGCACACACACACATATAATCCATCAAAATCATATCAAAATCTACGTACATATCAGCAATGTAAAGACAACTTCCTGGAACGTGAGAGGACGCATGTTCACCACAAGAAGCATAGCATTTTTGCATGTTCCAAAAAATGCCCACAAAAAAATGAAAGCCTTCGGGGGGCAAGTCGTTTCAGACTTCCCCGTCTCCTCCGGATAGCTTGCCCTCGTCACCTCCGGTATAGCTGATGTGCTAGAAGAGGCATTTGGCCAAGACGACTTGTCCTGGTTGGGTGCAATGCGGGAAAGGGTCGTCCGCCGTAGTTGGTTTCAAGTGCATGCGATAACATCGAAACATTTCGGAAAGGGAGGGGGCCAAACCAAAATATATATTGTGCTCAATTTGGCAACGCGTGAATCAGATTGACAGCAGAGCCGCTTTTTTCTGTGGAGCCAAGTATTCGTGCGATAGACGATGGTCATTGGCATTGGCAAGTCTGGGATTGAAACAAATTAAAATTATCGGAGCCGAGGCGCTTCAGCTAACTCTTGCGACGAAGACTTGGCCTGGGGCCAAATAACTGCTATCAATTGCAATTCTGGGTGTTCACTGGCTATTCAGGGAGAGAAGATCTTATGTTGAGCATCATCAATGGAAAGGGTGATTGAACCTGCACTGGACATCAACAAGTGCAAATGAAAAACTGATGGCAACCCAGGCCACGCATGGCCACGCTTCCTTCTCCTCGTGCCAGCTGGGCGCTTCTGGCTCCTGGAGACATATGCAGTCAGGTCATCTACCGGTACTACCCACTAAGAAACACATTACATCAAATGAATTCAAATGACTTTTTGCTTTGACCGCTCATTGCTGACGGTTCTGGAATGTGATGCAGCCATCCACCATTCTAAGCCTATAATGAGCTTGGCAGGGATCCATTAAAATCTTTAACCCAGGCAATGTTTGCCTAATTGAGATTGTATCTGAAAGCGACAGTAGTGCACACTGCTTTCTTCTGACTTATTCAGATTCCTTGCTGCTCTCAGGTTCTTCATCCTGAATCTGCCTGTATGGCCATTGGCCCTGCGACTCCTGACCAGGGCAATAGAAATGCCAAAAAAAAGTGCTTGCTTTGCTCTAAGTACCTTGCACAGCAAATTCAAGTGTCCTCGCCGGAGCCTCTCCATTGCGCTGCCTAGTGAATCTACGTGAATCTCATCAAGTTGAAAGGTCGGTGAAGGCCGACTGCAACAAAGAATAAAAAACAGCGTAAAAACAGTTTTAAAAACATGTAAAGTTTATGTAAAGAAGCCTGGCTCGAGCAACTTCTCCAGTCGGACCAGTCCCAGTTGGACCATCTCGGTTCCTGGCGGTGCGATTCATACGACTCTGGAGCTGCCGCACAATCTCTGCTTGGTGCTACCCTATTCATTCGCCTTCAAACCACCATGAATTGAAGCCTCCTACCCCTCCACAGCATCTTGATTTTAGGCTACACATGAAGAAGGAGCGAATCTGTGGCTCAAAACAAGCTAAAATCCCACACTGCCTCTTGTTTTGACACGGATGGGCTTCGCATCATTATTCACCAGGTGCGGACTTGCAACTGGCTTTGCTTTGAGGCTCCCTAGGAAGCCTGTCCTCTCGCCAGCCACGCCAAGAATCCCAGCTGTCCCACCTGTCCTGGAGCAACGCTTTGCGACAGCATGATGCTGCCATATGCTGCCATATCATTCCCCTATCCCACTGCAGCTCTCTATCGCTCTCTGACTCTATGTCACCCTTTCCATGTCATATCGGTTCATCATGTTTCATCCATTTTCCACCCTCCCTGGACCCTCCCTGGACCCTCCCTGGACCCTCCCTCCATTCTCTGCTGTCCCAATTGGACCATCTGGGTGAGCTCCACCAACTCCACGAGCCCCAGCTCCAAGGAGACCAACGGTTGGACCTTGAGGAGAGCTGACTTGTTAGATTTTGGTCCATCACAGTCGGTCTCTCGGTCTATGGAAATGGATTTGTCCGAGCATCACTGAATCACTGATGTTTTCTTCAAAAAATGCACTTACTTCTTACTTCCAGATGGTCCAAGCGCAAAAAGCACAGCCTGTATGTTTGGCTCCAAGCTGCCATCCATTTGATGACCACCCCGAGTTCCAAGAATGCCAAGTATTGTCAGTATTGTGGCCTACCAGTGATTCGGCAGAATCATGAGCATACTGAGAATCACCATGATCACCCCAGTACTTTGATAATGACTGCGGTGGGACACTATCAATACTTCACCTAAGAGACCTGTGGTCAGCCCGAATACGCAGGAAAAACATGGGTTGCTGCTATTCAGTGGTTCGCCCCAGCCTCTCCAACCATCTGATGTCCATTCGGTTTCTGCCTGTGTGGTCTGTGTCGAAAAGACCCTCAAAGCATGAGAGTAGCATGAGATTTTGTCCCCACCTCTACCGACATCTCACTTGGAAGGCCCACCCAGCCAGGCAAAGGGAGCCAGGCATCATGAGGCCATGAGGTACGGTGACCGCGTTGACAGTGGAAAGCAAAGATTTTGTACTGGGAATATGGTTTGGTTTGTGGCCCTGTCATGGTCTTTCTGCTACATGCTTGAACAAGCTGGAGCTTTCCAGGCTCTCCGCGCTTGGAGTTGATTTTCATTTTCAGTGCCTGCCAGATGCCTGCATGAGACACTGCAGCTGCTTGTAGAGCTGGTGAACTTCTAGTTTGTTACCTGCATCATCCTGCATCTACCTGCACACCCTTCCGGCGACATGGCTTACCCTTTGCTCATCCGCAAGAGCTAGGAAGCTAAGAGCCGGCAGGTCGGAAGCATGAGAATTCTTTTCGTTGGGACTGACTGGTCCAGAACGGATTCAGCAACTGTCGCTTCCAAAAAACAACCAAGAAGAAAAGCTGTCAGGTTTCATGTGGGAAAGGTCAAGCATAGATTGAATATCAGTTGATCTGTTATGCCATGGCGCGTCAAGCTTTATAACTTCCCAGTCATGCAAACAAAAACTCACCACATCTTCAATTGACATGTGGGGTCTAGCGTCATGGTTTCTCAATCTCTCAGGTGGGTTCCGAACCCGTGCATGTCAAGCAAACTCTCAAAAAAACATTGGTTAAGTTATGCCGATTGATCTTGAAAATATGTCGGCATTCTCTGGATTGAGTTGAACTTGAAGCTTTCAGGGCGCTGGATGTTGTGGTCATGCAATCCTGTCCGTACATGACATAACTGCTTGCAGGATCTTGCAGGCGTGAATTGGACTCAAGTCTCAACACGTGGGTTGCACTTGATCCACAGATTCGGTCCTATTTTCCATCTCGATGCTGAGAGGTGCTTGGCTTGTCAGGCTAACGGCCGGAAGATGGCGTGTCTCCAGCAAAGACATGCTGGAGACATGCTGGATTCTTGAGCGTTGCATCTATTGACATCTGCCATTAGTGCCACACTTGAGTGCAGCACGTTGGCACCGCCAGTTGCTCTCGTTCTTCCCTTTAAGAATGTTTCTTGGCAACGTGCAAGACTTTGAGCGTTTCTCCAAATTGTTTTTCATGCAGCTGGAAATGTTTGCAGGGTAATGCATGGTGTTTGTGGTCAGTGCGTTGTTGGAAACTTGCTGGCTGTGCCCATCCACACAAACATCCTGTGCTCACGCTGTGTTCACTTCTGAATGTCCCCTTGATAGTCTAGTGGGACCAGCGACCTTGCGTAGTATTCAAAGGCAAACACACCATGCCATCAACATGCAGAAGATTGCAGCAGCAACGCCTGCCTGATTCCAGGTTGGGACAACCCAGCCACCATGATCATTGGTTTTGGCGCATCGCCTTCACAACAGCCGAAACTAGACCACGTAGATTACTGGTTGGTACCAGTCTGAAACACGGACGAACACGGATTAGGAAACATTTGGGGAACAAGGGTGCAATCGAATCACACAAACCAACACGCGCCAACTTGTCATCCTGCCTGGTTTACCGTCCTTAATGGCCAATGAACCTTGTTCTTTCTCGCGTTTTCGCACATGTTCCTGCAACTGAAGCAACCAACGCCCAAGTCAAAAGCTAACACGTCTAAATTTGTGCATGAAACCGGTCCTCGTGTGCTCGATATCGATTGTATGTACTGGCAGGGGTCAAAGGTACCCACACCTGAGTCTGATCTTGCACCGTTATCATGACTATCATCTCAGATTTTCTGCAATCAAGGGGCTGATCCAGGGTCCATGGCTCACCAACTTTGAAGCGGCACCTACCCGCTGCCTTGAACCCTCGCAAAGGGCGATGAACCACATCACGCGGACAATTCCAGCACAATGATCAAAGCACACAAACCAATACAAAATCAAAGCTGATAGGAACTGGTTGTCGCATACTCGATCCACAAAACCAGTGGAAAAAAATCAGCTTCTGACATTGGTGACCGAACGGCTGTGGCAATTCGTTGCTCGAATATGTTCGAATAATGTTCAGAATTTAAGCCGGGGCTGGAAAACATGTTCGAACCCTGTCTCGAACAGCCTTTCGTTCTGTTGGATACGATCCCAAATGACGAAGCATCAGTTGCTGCACATAATCGTTTTTTTGAAAATCAGCGGCTTGAGAATTCAAACTACACATTTTTCCGTACTGGTTAGGAAGGCTGATTCCCCTATTAGCACAAACTACGCCAGCATAGGCCCAAATAGCAAAAGCGCTCGCCTTTTTGGCTCCGGCATACACGTAACCTCCATCAAACCCCAACGCCCACACTCTCGCAGCCACCCCCTGCAGCGACATCAGCACCCAAGTTTCATAGCGCACACCGCATTCTGACAGCAGTGCCCGTGGCAGCACCCAAGTTCCTAACATGCAGACAACCCTTTGAAGTACCCTGCGCCTGCCCCAAAGCGCACACACCACTCTCACACCAGCACTCCAAGCAGCACCCTCCCTCCACCAGCACCAGCAGGCCAGCTCTAAAGCGCGCACGCCACTTTGACGTCACACTGAAACAGCACCCTGCAGCGGCACCCTGCAGCGGCACCCTGCAGCAGCACCAGCACACCTGCCTCAAGGCCGCAAACCACCCTGACAGAAGCACAGCAGAACCTTGCAGCGGCACCCTGCAGCGGCACCAGCATGCCTGCTCCAAAGCGCACACACCACTCTGACAGAAGCACCGGTGCGAGAGCGAGAGCGAGAGAGAGAGAGAGAGAGAGAGAGAAGATGCGAAGATATGAGGATAATATGTGTAGGTGTGAAGATGGGAAGATGTCAAGATGTGAAGATGACATGTGTAGATTTGTGAAGATGTGAAGATGATATGTGTATATGTGAAAATGTGAAGATGATGTGTAGATGTGGAAATGTGAAGATGATATGTGTAGATGTGAAGATGAGAAGATGTGAAGATGTGACGATGATATGTGTAGATGTGAGGATGAGAAGATGTGAAGATTTTAAGATGATATGGTCGATGCGAAGATGTGAAGATGATATGCGTAGATGTGAAGATGTGAAAATGTATGACAGACCCCCACTATTAGAAGAACCCTTCGCTCAGACGCTCTCGGGAACCATATGAAAAAAACAATACATCGATAACACCTTGGAAATTGTTTAGAATTTTGGCATATATTTTTTAAAGCATGATCACACCCAACAGGAAAGTATCAATTATGAAAATTCATCCAAACCCAGTCTGCTTCTGTGGCAAGAACTCAATCTGATCTGAGCGGGCCTAGATTTGGCTGACTGTTGTTTTTTCCTGCGCACTTCGGATGTGATGGAAGATACTGGTTTGATCTTTACATTTTATCCAGATGGTAAGTTACAGAGGATTATCTTTCTAATTTTGGACGACGGTTTGGACGATGGTACTACAATGTGCTCAACCTGAGGCCAGGGTGGGGAGGCACGAAAGCTAGCAGGGCTGCTGTAGGGTTGCAATATCTATTGGGTCCAGCAAGCGAGAACCTCCCAACGCAGCAATCGTCTCTCGCCAGATTTGTTGAACAAAAGAAAGGCAAGATCCAAAAAAAAACGCCCCCCAATTGGAAGTTCAAATCTGCATTAGGCGTGTGCAAGATGTTCAAGGCAACGCAACATGTGTATGATGATGATGAGGAGGAGGAGGAGAAGGAGGAGGAGGAGGAAGATGAGGATGATGAGGATGAGGATGAGGATGAGGATGAAGAGGAGGAGGAGGATGAAGAGGAGGAGGAGGAGGAAGATGAGGATGATGAGGATGAGGATGAAGATGATGATGAGGATGAGGATGGGGATGAGGAGGATGAGGAGGATGAGGAGGATGACGATGACGATGACGATGACGAAGAAAAAGAAGAGGAAGATAATGATGATCACTGGTGGTCAAGCCAGTAATCGGAAACTAAAACCCGATAATCAGAAACCAAAACCCGTTAATCGGAAACCAAAGCCCGCGAATCGGAAACTAAAAGCCAGGAATCGGGAACCAAAGGAATCAGAAACTAAACCCCGATAATCGGAAACTGAAAACCCTGAATCAGAAACCAAAACTGCTGAATCGGCACCACCGCTGAATCGAGAACTAAACCAGCTGAATCGGAAACGAAACTAAGCCATCGGAATCGGAAATTAAACCCTGCGGATGAGAAACCCGGCTGTATGCTTTGGAAAGCATTCACAACTGGCCTCGCCTCATTGAAGCACTTCACCGGCGGAGTATGTGAAATGAATTGCTTAATCCCTTGTGAGAAAAGTTGAAGCTAATACCTCGTGCAATATATTGTTCAAAGGAGGTGGCAGATTTGATTCCTTCTAAAGATAAATTGAAGAGGGGGCGGGCGATTCGCTTTTAATCCCTTACAAAGATGAACTTGAAGGTAATATCAGTCACATCCCATTTAACATCATATTGTTCCAGAAAGGGAATGGCGGATTTGATCCCTCAAAAAGAAACAAGTGAAAGCGATACCCCATTAAGCCCATTAAGCATATTGGTCGGAAGGGGTGGCGGATTTGATCCCTGATGGAGGTAACTTGAAGGCAATATCCCACTCCAATATATTGTTCAGAAGGGGTGGCGTATTTGATCCCTTAAGGAAATGTATTTGAAGATCCCTCAAGGAAAGAAAGATGAAGGTAGTATAGTAGGCGCAGGTGACGGCCGATTTAGCCCATGTTTTTCAGCACATGACATAGGATTTATGATTTATGCATCAATTTTGCTATGGTTTTTTATTACACATGAGTCACATGACATGGGAGTTACGCACCGACCTAACGGGCAGGTACTTGACTTTTCCATTTTTTTGACCGATGACATGGGAATATTTGGTCAAATTTGACAAGAATCTTGGGACTTCCAGGAAAACACAGAAGTCCAAGATGGGAAGTGGCAGGTAATGAGATGGGAAGACGAATTTACCACAGGAGATGGGACGTCCAAGTCAGATGGGAAGTGGCAGGTAATGAGATGGGAGGGCGAATTTACCACACGAGATGGGACGTCCAAGATGGGAAGTGGCAGGTAATGAGATGGGAAGACGAATTTACCACAGGAGATGGGACGTCCAAGATGGGAAGTGGCAGGTAGTGAGATGGGAAGACGAAAGTACCACAGGAGATGGGACGTCCAAGATGGGAAGTGGCAGGTAATGAGATGGGAAGACGAATTTACCATCTCCCAAGATGGGACGTCCAAGATGGGAAGTGGCAGGTTATGAGATAGGAAGACGAATTTACCACATGACATGGGACTTCCAAGATGCCGTCCCCAGCTTCGAGCGGGAGGACAAACAGCGGCACGACAAATTTCGCAAAACGAAACGCAATGGGGTCAACCACGCGGGGGGACGACAGTGGGGACAGCAGAACAGGAAAGAGACACAGAAGAATGCGAAACGGGTGGGGAGAAAATAAGGTGGAGAAATGTCTGGTGCGCGCTGTGATTATGCACAGGTAGGTCATGCAACTCTACATACGAAGTTCAAATTCATCAAACTTTAAGTTTAGCTTTATTAAGTTCATGCAAAGTCTCACTAAAAATAGCCACATACATATATGATGCATATACACACATATACACTCATATATAACTGCAGGCTAGCAAGTAGAATATTGCTTACCATTTACGCATTTGGCACTCCTGTTCATACATGTAGCATGTAGCTGTCATGTTCGCACAAATCGAGACGTGTATATCCGAGACGCTTTTGCATCAAGAAACACAATCATGGTAGCGGAACCGTGATCCACGTACTCTCGGGTCGTGGTGAGTTCCAAAAAGTGGGACTGGACGCTTATCCCACAACTCAGGGGCAGGACCCCACGGGCGGCAGCCATAACTTCGTTGCTGCTTACTGGCCTTGTTGGCTCCATTTTCACCACTGGGTGTTTTCTGCAGGTTCTGACTGGGTGACAATTGGCACATTTGCTTGGTTTTCAGGTCCCGGTGCAAACAGGTCACATTTCCTGGACTGGCGGCTTCACTTTTGATTTAAAATCTTTTGGGTGATTGCTGGCCTGGTTTACACTTGAGTGGCCTTCGAACTTGTTACAGCCAGCTTGCACTTTACAGTGGTGTGACAGTTGGCACCATGGCGACAGGTGATGGTGGACAGACTCAAGCCCAGCTGATGCTGGCTTCAGTTCAGTGTGCAGCACAAGCTGCTTCTGATGCTGCAGTGGCCCTACTGTGCAAGTCCCGAAGGAGTTTGGGAACACCATTTCCTCGGGGAATCAGAACAATTTGGCCGATTTTGCATGTTCTTTCAGGCAGCGGTTTTGTTTTGCAGACCCTGGTCACAGCTCAGATTTAGACCACGTTAAAGAGCACACAGAAATGCCAGTGACGTTTTCTGAGACGCCAGAGGGCTTAGCAATCAAGAACGGGTCATTCAAGTTGTATGCAATCAAGATGCGGTTTTTGAATATTTTTGAGGCAGATTCCCAATTCACACGGCCTTGAGGTTTGGCGTCAGTTTCACAGCCTCTATGTTCCAAGGGCCAAGGTGAAAAGCATGGCAATGCTTTCAGCTATCATCGGTTATCATGCGTTTACAATGGGTAAGACTTTGGTGGGGCAATTGCAGACACTGGAACGTTTAGGTGCTGAACACTAGAAGACCGCAGGTGTGAACATTTCAGAAGATATTCTTTTGACAACACTTGTACGGCCTTTGCCACGCCATGTTCAGCAGCACATTCAGCTT